GCTCTGTCCCTGCCAGCATGCTGTCTCCCCGGACAGGGGCTCGCTCGCCCACTCCCAGTCCCCTCAGCACCAAACAGAGCTGTAGTCTTGGGAGAGGGTTTTTTTGGGCTCTTGGCTGCTGCTTCTCCCACCCTGCAGAGTTATTCCTTGGGCAGAGCTGGCTCTGGAGTGTGTACACAGCCCAGCACAGCAGGCACTGCTCTGCCCTCCTCTCTGCCCAGCAAGAGGTGGCTTCATCGCCTTTGGGAGACAATTGTTTGAAGCCAGACAGCACTAAAACCTGTCAACCCTCGGGGAAGTTTTATTGGCATTTTAAATATTAACCCTGGCACCTGGTTTTCAGCTACGTTCTCTGCCAGACTTGGAAAAGCACTGGTGGGACAAGGGACACTGAGCCAGATCCTGCCTGGGACACAGGGCTGCAGCAAAGCCCCAGCGTGCCTGTGTCTGCCCATGGGGGCCAGGTTTCGAGGGCTCCTGCCCCCTAAATCCCTGGGAGAGTGCCAGGGCAAATATAGCAGCCCAAAGCACTAGCAGCATCCATGGATGCAGAATGGTTCCCAGATTGAAAGCAAATTGGTGAATGTGGGGCTTTTCTCTCCCAGGGGCTCCGCATGGCTAACTGCTCCAATGGACAGGTTTATGGACTGTTACATGGATATGGCTCTTCCCATGGCTTCACAGACCCATTTCACAAATGGCACTGGCTGCAATCCACTGCTCTGTGCCGAGCTGGTGGTCAGGATGTTGGTGAAGAGAGAAGGAAAACATGGATGAGAAATAGACAGGGAAAAACAAATGTCAACCCGTGCTTTTTATAGCATGAGGGCAGAGTGTTGGCTGGGCTTTAAGTAGAGGAAGATGTGCTGGTAACTGGAAAGGTGCCTGGGGGAGAACAGCAGCCTGGCTCCTGTACCAGCAGGCGTTCAGGACCCCCGGCTGGCCAGCCCTGGACCACTGTCTGATTGGGCTTGGCTGAGACCAAAGGTGCTGTGTCCCTTGCAGTGCAGCCTGGGCAGGGACTGGTTCTGATCAGCTCAGGTCATGGAGCCGGTGAGGTTGCAGAGAGGAGACTGACAGGAAAGGACTGAGCTGGATCCCACTTTTCAGTCAGGGTTGGCCCCATGTCACCACCACGAGCAGAGCAGTCCTCTGGGTTAGCAGAAAACTCAGAATCGCTCACTGGCAGCCAGAGGCTGAATTTGCTTTGCTCAACTGTGGGAAACTAAAGCCCCAAGACCATACATGGCCATACCTGTTAGTGCTGTCCATTAGACACATCAGCCAGTGTGCTCCCGCCAGTGAATCCCGTGATGTATTCCTAAACACGGTGTTATCGAAGGCCAGAGCAAGTATCAGGCAAAGAAATCAACTGTTCCCTGATGTAAGCCGACTGGAATCAATTGCTGCAGGGGAAAAGCACCGTCAGCCAGGTCCGAGCCCTCTGACAGGTCAATAAAACACCTGAGAGGACACGCTCGCCCGCGGAGGTGGACGTGTTTCCCTGGCATCGCTGCTCGAGTGATGCCCTGCTTGGGAAGGGGCCCTGAGCTCTGTGCTCTGGCACTGCTGACCTCGGTGTCAGGTGGGCTTCACACCAGGATTTCACCTTGCCCCTGAGTGCCATCAGGGCTTTTGCTCCCACCCCTCCTGTGCTGGTCCTGCTGCGACAGAGACAAGGAGTGGGCTGCCAGGGCACCCACCACCAGCTCCCGCCTCCGTCCTCTGTGCCAGTCACAGCACTTATTCATGCTTGAAAATTTGCAAGAGAAAGATAATAATACCCTCGAGAAAGTCTGTCCCTGTTTTGGCCTGACAGAGAACTAAGATAAATGTCAGTTTTCAGTTAATATCATGCTCGAAGGATAAGCAGGAACAGCGAGGATTTCATTCTGGTACGTTTATTAAACACATACAGACATGTCACTGCTGGCAGAGCTGAACAGGTCCCGCAGTCCTGGGGCTCAGGTCCCATCAGCACCAGAAATGCCTGAGATCAGATCCAACACCAGCCTGGCATTTGAAGCCTGGGAATTGCATCTGCATGTGCTTTCCGAGTCCTCAGAAGATGTTGAGTCCCATCGGGAAGTTGGTCCCAGTACAAGCCACAGGCAGCTGCTGCACTCACCATCCCAGGGGGAGGCAGAGGAGATCCATGGGGTGATCCCACCGTGGACTGAGCACACATGGGCTGTGCCAGTGTGTGCCAGGCAGGTCTCCTCCACTGCAGCATCCTTGGGGCTCTTCCTTGCCAGCCCCTCCTGCCATAAGTTATCTCTGCTGAGAGGCTTCGCTGCCTCAAACTGCTCATTAGCACAAATTGCCTGGCAGTAACAAACTGCTCTCAGTGCTCGCCGTTTGTGGGGTGTGTGTGGCCGTGGCCAAGTGTGGAGGTGGAGCCCAGAGCTGGTCCTGCTGCAGGACACTGTGGGGCTGGGGGGGCAGGTGACCCAGGGGCTGCTTCATCAATGACAACAGTGATAAACCCTCCCAGTAGAACTTACTGATGAATCAATTATTTCCAATTTTAATAAATTGTTTTGTTCACACACACTTGGGCCATGCCATCTGCCAGGAGCTGGACACACACCAGGGTCTGGTACCCACCCAGGGAGAGGAAAGCAGGGGGTAGGGATGAGCCGATGGCCAGTCCTATCCACCAATGTTCCCTCTGCTCTGCTGCAGAGTCACCCTGCCTGCCACCACAGGCACCCATGTGTGGCCCCATCCCTGTTCCCCCAACCCCTCAGGGAGCTAAGGGCACTCAGAGAGGTGCAGAGTGTGGAGATCTTGGCTGTGAGACCCATCAGCTTGGATGATGTACTTACACTTTTAATAAGAAATAGCATTTGATATAGCACAGTTCCAGCATTTATTGAACTGAAGTGCCTTCCACCGCTTCAATGCAGAGCCCTGAAGCCTGTCCTAGATGATTTAAGAATGATCCATCTGGAAAATGATGCAGACAATTTGTTACACCCAGCCAGAGAGCCATAGAAACCACCATAACAAGCTTAAATGATTTCAGCATCGCTACATCATCCAGTCCCAGCCAGTCTTCCTCAGAGCCACTGCCGAGCTGGGGTCGCCCGTTGTGCACAGCTCCTCTTCCTGAAGCCGATGCTGCTCCTGCAGCCCATCCCAGCGCTGGATCCAGGCTCCTCGTAAGGATGTAGGGGATCCTTTCCATCTTCCTGCTGCTTATCTCACACCCTCCCTCCCCAAATCCCTATTTGCAGCTAAGAAGCTCCAGCCAGCTCACAAACCCTCCCGGTGGGCTCCTCCTGCTGCCGGCAGCACTCTTGCCTGTTGATGGTTAGCACCTCGCCCTGGGTAAATCAGGGCTTCAGTTTTCAAAATAGCGTGTTGATTGATGCTTAAAATATCCCCAGCAATTACTTCGCCCCGGTATAATTATAATAATTAAACTTGGATAATGCTTAGTCCTACTTTTTATCAGAACTGTGCGCTGCGGCACCAGTGTGTGGTGTTTTGTTTCCAGCCTCATTTTCCAGCCTCACCCTGTTGAGCAGTGCTGAAGGGACACGAGCTGGCAGCCTCCAGCTGACAAGGGGACAGTCACCCTGTGATGGCACCTCCAGCCCCGGGAACTGCTCGTGGCACCGTTTAACCCAGGGCACAGTGTGTGGTGGCCATGCCCTGGCCCTCGGTGCGTGGTGGGGCGGGCAGCAGGAGGGGATGCTCCTGGCTCCACGCTGGGGTGATGGGTGCTGGAGGGAGCAGGGATGCTGGTTCTCCTCTTTGGCCGCTCGCCTTGTCGTCCCCCCCAGTCTCTCTCCCACGGCTCAGCACAATATTTCTCCTCTGTGCTCCCAGCAGTGACACTTGGAACAGCTCAGGCTGGTGAGTACGTTTCCGGCTGTGATAAATATCAGGGAAAGGAATGAGATCCCAACACTGTATTTCATGCCCTGAAATCCCACTTGCATCTGGAAATGAAGAGAGTTCTCCGGCTGATATATGCAGCTCTGAGGCCATTCGCATCCTGTTCGCTTGTACACATTGTCACGGTGATTTAAGCTGGCAATTTGGCCCTAAATGAAGAGCATCTCACTTTGTCCCTCCCCATTTTCCTATATATTTTCCTACAGAAGGGAGCTTTTTGAGATTTGGCTGGGCTGGGGCTGGGCAGCATCCCTGGTCCTGGTTTTGTGCTGGTCTGGCAGAGAGAGCTGCAGAGGATCCCAGCACTGCGGAAAAGCTCCTGACGCAGCCTGGGAACGCGAGTGGCAGGTGGCTGTGCTGAGCTCTGTCTTCCCAGGTCATCCCTCTTTAAAGCCAACATGGACACTGAGAAAGGCTTTTCCCCCTTTTTCAGGTCAGATGGCGTTGTGAGGAATGGCAGCTGTGCTGTCCCATGGTGGTCTGGGGAAGGGGGACACTGTGAGAGCACAAGGGGCTATGGGAGCTGTCCCTACTGCCTGGCATGAGCCCTCCCTGTGCTGCCCGGTGCCCACGTCTGTCCATCTGTCCATCGAGCAGCTTGTGGCTGCACAGCTGCAGGGCCAGCTCAACTGTGAACCATCATCACCTGTGTCACACCCAACATGCAAACCAGAGACATCACTTAACAGGGACCTGCTCATGGCCAGGACTCCTCAGGTAAAAGAGGTAACTGGGTGAAGTCATTCCATAGCAGAGCTGTTTGTTTAAAACATCATTAGTGACAATTAATTCCCCCCAAGCCCTAGGGGTGCTGGGTAAGCCTCGGGACCCATCACCCTCCTGTCAGTGCTGCAGGGTGCAGAGGTGGGGGCTTCAAGGGGACCCAAGGGGATGTACGAGACCCTCTTCCCAGGATGAAGGCAGGGCCATTTCTCAGCCTCTCACCCAAGGGTTGCACAGCTGGGGACAGGGGGATTTCCCCAGGGAAGCACGTCCACTCCTTGCTGATGGGTCAGTCCCCCTAGACCCCAAACCAACCCCGTCCCCTCCCCAGGAACCGCAGCCGCGCGCGGACGAACCCAGTCACCACCGGCTGCGCGGTTCTCATATCAGTTTTAATAGCAACATCAGAGTACTAAATATACACAGGGCAAGGGGACAGGGGGGCATTTACAGTGCTTCCAAATACACGGCTTCCACGGACAGAGACAAATTAAAAACCACTCGGGAAGAAAAAGGTCCTTTTGGCATCGCCCCAGCTCATGCCGCGGGCACGCGGAGCGGCCGCGATGCCGAAAGGCGGCAGCGCTTCCACCGGCGCTGGGCTGGCCCGGCACCCACCCGGACGTGCCGGCTGCCCCTCCCGGTGCGGGATTTTCCCAGGAAAAGAAAGAAGTACTCGGTGATGTAAAACCGGTTACAAAGTAAAACTGTCCTCATGTTAGAAAACGGGTTTTTGGCGAAATAAAAATAAAGTGTAAACTTCGCTGTACATGTCCTATCAAACAAAAAAATAAACCCCTCGGAACCTAAAATAGAAGAATCTGGGTCAGAAATCTGTGCCCTTAGTGTACATTTTTGTGCAACATATACTTTATTCAAAGTAAATATTTTCTCCACTCTTGACACTATTAAAAATGTACCTACAAATGCTGAGAGTAATTCTTAAAAATGTGTGAGAAGCGTTAGATGAGCTCGGGAGACCAAACCCATGGACTTGGAAATGGCGAGGGATTTCTTGCTGGTTTTGAAAAAATCACTTACAGATTTTATACCTGGTTGAACAAAAATTCCAACCACATTCATCCTGAAATGGGCGGGCTGAGATAGGATAGATATATTTTTGTTCTATTTTATTTTTTAATTTTTTTTTTATAAAATATATAATATGTGTAGAATATCTACTATTTGACTACCATTTGAGCTGAACTACCTTCCTTTGCAACAAGCTGCCAGTGGAGAAGAGGTAACCTGAAATCCGCCCCCGCGCCGGCTCTGCTGTCGCTGTGGTGACCTTGCGGTGGGCTCGGTGCCGATGACCCCACGGAGCACCCACGCAGCCCCTCCACGCCACTGCCACCGGCCGCCCTCTCTCCAGCTGGGAAGACAGAGTGAAGGTAAAAATCGATCTGGAGAGACAGGCGGCCGCCCAGGACTGGCCCTGCCTGGGGTGCCGTGGGGTGATGCTGCCCTGGGGAGACCCCGGCTTACAAAGATCAAGGGACTGAGGATCAAACCCTGCCCACCCTGCCCAGAGGTGCCATGACATGGGAGCTCGGACCTGTAGTCCCAAACCAGCTCAGCTGGTGCAGGACAGAGCCCACTGGTGCCAGTGGTGCCCACGGCTCTGCCCGCAGCCCTTGCCCCTGCCGTAACACCATGTCCTGAGGCTCCTGCTCAGCGTTTGCAAGGGATTTGGAGGGAGGAGAGTCCTGGGTTTGCTGCAGAGCACAAGGAGAGCCAAGCTCTCCTTGCTGTGGGTGGCTCATCCCACACCACTGCCTCTCTAAGACAGAGCCACATGTGACACACAGACACTCCATGACACCTCTGGGGGACGTGGCAGCCTCTTGGCTGCCATGGTGTGTTTCTCAGGGACGACTCAGGGGCAAGGAATCTGGAAAATGAACCAAAAAGAAACAAGCAGTGGGCTGGGGGCTTACAGCAAAGCAAGGAGCAAAACTTTTCTTTTTGCAAGCTTCCAGGACCCCAGGGTGAGATGATGTGCCCAAAATATGACACAGCTCCTGAGGGAGCATGTCCGAGAACATCACGCTTCCCTGCTTTTCCACGGTGGGAAGATCTGCTCAACAGACTATGCCATGGAAATGCAACTTTCTGTTTTCATTTCTTTCTTGTTTTTTGGCTTTCATCAATAGGAGGGAATGAAACCACCACAGTTCATTTCTCTTCACTGTGCAAGACCTTGGGATGCCTGGGCCCTGCCTTGTACATCACCACATCAGCAGCTCCGGCCCTGTCCTTTCTGCTCCTCCTCTCCCTCCTCCCAGCAGCAGCCCCGTGTGCCTGGCATGCATGGGGGGAGGCTTCCTCTGATAAAGTGCAAGTGCTGTTGGTCCTTATAAATAAGGGAAGATTGTGCATCTACTTTTGTTCCCTGGTTCACCGCTCAGCTCTGGGTGACCAGGATGTGTCCTGCTGCAGACTGTGGGGGAAGCTCGGGAAAATCCTGCTCTCTGAAACCTGCTCCTGTCCTTGGGGTCACAATTATTCACCTTCCTTCTCTCTCCCACACACACACACACACACACACACACTCCTTCCTCTCCTCTTCCCCACCTCCATAGGGAATTCCCCATGAGCCGGGTGCCTCTCCATCCCCATCCCCACCACCGCTGGCACTGGCGCTGCCCGCAACACCCTGCCATGCCCCGGCTCTGCCTGACAACTTCCCTGCAGGCAGCAGGTTCCATCCATGCAGAAGCAGAGCACTGCTTTGAACGCCCTGGAACGAGGGAGCTGAGATATATTTCATGTCATACTGCTATCATGATTACACTGGAATACCCATGGGAATGAAATAAATAGGAAGATCAATGGGAGAAGCACAAGGGACGTGGCTCCAAGCTGGAGCAGATGGATTACCATGAAGTCACAAAAAGAAGGAGAACCCAACACCTGTGCCAGTGAGGGCAGCTCGCAGGGCCTGCACCACTGACACCAGTGCCACAGGAAAGCCCCAGGACACTGAGATGACCCTAGAGCAGTTGCTCAGACTCCACACTTTCCAAGGGCAGACACTCCTCATGTTTTCCCAGGGCAGGCTAAAGCTTTGGGGGGTCACTGCTCTAGCAAGACACTGTCTCCTCTCCTCCCTGGAGGCATCCAGTGGCTTTGGAGAGCTGGATACGAGCCACCCAGGAGACCCCACTCTGCCCAGGGGATGGTTGGCTCAAGTCTGCAGGTAATTGTCAGGGCTGGCAAGGAAGACTTCTGTCCGAGGCAGCATCCAAAAATTCAGGAAAAATAATCCAGACTGTGCAATTCCATGGGAAAAGGACAGAAAAGGACATGGGAACAAGAGACCGCACGCGTGGCTTTGCGCAACACCACAGGGTTCTACTTTTTTTTTTAAATGCACGTTCATTATCATAAAGAAAAGGAGCTGAGTAATTAGTAGGGGAGTAGAAATGTGGATCTGGACAATTCTAAAAAAACACTAGTATTTACCAAGGGCAGTTTACAAAAAGAACTGGAGGACTTTGGTCTGATCTCTGCTGTCGTTCTCACCCACCTAACACCGAAGGGACCCGAGCGAGCCCCATCCTGGTGTCTGATGTGCAGCACAACACGGTAGCACCCAACTCCATGGAAAGACTTGGAGAGAGGGCTTAGGGTCAGCTGGCATCCTTGTCAGCATCCACCACCACCACCCACCCCAGCAGGAGCTGGCCAGGCCATGGGTGTCTTTCTAGAGCAACACACCAAATCGGAACTGCAGAACTGTGCTTCCCTGGCAAAAAATCCCATTAAACACCACCCAGGACTGTGGACAGCAGACTGTGTCTTCTCTTGCCACAGCAGAGCCAGCCAAGACCAGGAGAGCAAGGGAAGAAGCTCCCTTAATCCCACAGCTCTGGGCTGGGGCAGGAGGCAACAAGCTCCTTCCTCTTGTTTGTCAAACAGGGCTGAGCAAACTTTGGTGCTGTGGCCTATTTAGAAGCCATTTTCCAAAAAGACTCTCACATCCCACTGCCAAAATTTGTCTCCTGTGCCAAGAGAGGCCCATCTTTTGGAAGTCCACTCCTAAAACCCACCTTGCCCAGCCCCCTCTCATGGTGGGGATCTCAGCTCTGGACATGGGGCAGGCACAGGCTCTCCAGCTTCTTCCTATCGGCCTTGATGATGTATCTGGATAGAGAAGCCTGGAAATACCTTCACCACTGCCTTGAGCTGCATTCCAGATGGTCTTTGGGAAGCTCCTCCCCTGCTCCCTGCCAGCAGTGCAGCCCCGGCCGTCCCCCACCACAGTCACGTCACCACGCTGGAAAAAGCATTTCCAAAAAGAACCAAAACTATATATATATATGTATACATACATATATATGTCTATACATACACACACACGTATATATATGTATATATGTCTACCTATATATACACATATAGGCTGACAGACAAGCTGCCAAAGTAGAAAACGTCAGATCACCCGGTTTGCATGATGCGTGTTAAAGAAATGAGACTTTTAGCCCATGACATCTTCTTTAAAAATGAGTATTTAAGATCTTCAAAAATTGCTACAGTACAAAAAGTGTTTGTGTGTGTATATATATATTTTCTCTCTACATATACCATATGTATGTACGCGTATGGACCGGAATGGATGACCCCACCAGAAGAGACGCCCCACTCATCCTCCACGACGCTTCCAGGCGTTGCTGACACGGCTCCTCACAAAGTCTTTGCATCGGTTCATGGCACATAATGGTATTATTGGCACAGGTTCAGAGTCACCGTCCACGGCCGGGCTCCAGGCGCTCAGTCCTTCCCTCTTTGTCCCTCGCCAGTTCCTCCTCCACGGGATTCTTTGCTCACACACCTTCCTTTCTCTCCTCCCAAAACCGTGCTCCTTGACAATGCAGTTACCTATAGGCATGTTCATTTTTATAAAAATATATTTGGCCCATAGAACGCTGCTCTTTGAGTCTCCTACTGGTAAACAGAAATGGTAGGTACAGGTAACCCATTATTTTTTTATATTTTTTACAGGTTCACCAATGGAATCCTGTTGAGGACGAGAAGAAAAAGAAAGATTAAGTCATGACAGGGAATTGCACTGCAACTGGGGGCTTTTCCCTCTTTCCCCCCGGCCGTGGTGGCATCCTGGGGGAGTGGGGAACAGAGGGAGTGGGGTACCAGTGACATCCTCCTCCTCACCACCTGCCAGTCTGTGTTGGGGACCTGGGAGCACTACTTCTATCTCCTTGTGGCCTTCTCCAGGAAAAGATTACTCTCAGTGATCCCTGTGTTCTGCAGCTTCTCATACTCAGGCCACGAGCAGTGAGTGCTCTGGCAGACGAGATGATGACAAGCACTAACAAAATTTGCTAAAGTTAAATCTAAAGAATCAATAGGGAATTGGTTAAGCACCAAATCAGAGATCCTACTGAAGTCCTTAAGCTATTTATTTACTGTCTACTGGAAGATGTCTCCCTGTGCAATCTCGGACCCTCAATACAAAGACAATCACCGCCCATCATTAGTGTGCAGCCAGTTGCTCTCTGTGTCGTGCTGTTCCATGCAGTGAAATGTGTTGTAGCTCCGCTGGGTGTGCCTGAGACAGCTGCCAGCAGGTACATACACCCCGTACAGCAGTGCTCAGTACACACATCCCTAATCCAGGCTGTGCCCTCTGCCTGGCTGGGATCAGCACTCAGAATGCAGGGTGCTTTTTGTCCCAGGGCTCTTTCTCCAACACTATTTTTAAGCAAGATGCCCAACATACACCATCTCCAAGAACAACCCCGGAGTCTTAATTAGCGAGACAGATTTTCCAGAGTCCTTAATCTCCTGCGCCGGGGCTGTGCTGGGACTGCTGTTATTCCTCCGAAGACAAGCTGGGATTTTTTATGATGACTCATTATCTGTTAATGTTAACACAAACCATTTGCTGTTGTTAGGCAGAACGGGGCCATCACGGCAGCTGCTGCCGTGTTCAAGCCTGGCATTACCACACAATGCTGTCAGCTCTCACCACCTCGTGCCAGGGCAGGGTCAGGCCGATGTCACCAAATCAGCACAGCTGCCAGGTCCCAAATCAACCCCTCCCTGCCATCAGTGCCAAACATCCTGTGGTTCTGGGTGAGCACTGGTTAACGTGTGATGGCAGGAGGTACAATTGGTATTGTATCCCAAATAGCCTCTTTGTGCAAAGTAGGTCAGCGCTTGATCAACCTTACAGATTTTTGTATAATCTCATTCCGTGGGGTTTTTCAGTCAAAGAGAGTGGGATTAAGGACAAGAATAATGCAAAATCTCAAACTTCATTTCAGAAAGCCCCAAAGCCAGGATGAAATCAAGCCAAACCAGCCACCCTGCGCTGTGGTGCCTGGCCAAAGCCACTCAAGTCTTCAGCAAACGTCACCTGTCGTTCTGCAGAACATCGTCTGCTCCTGCCTCTGCCTGGGTGCTGTGTGTCCTCCAGTACTGCTGGCACCAGGGCACAGGGAGTTCTCCTTCTCATACCTCCCTGCAGGTAATTCCTCAGTGCTTTCACTGACTGCTTCACTCCTCACCTACGCAGCCTGGGACGACACTGCAGCTGCAGCTCCCCCGGGCTGCTGCGGATGGGCCGGCCCCTGTGCCTGCAGGAATAGCTGCCGAGGTGTGACATCCACCCAGGTGTGACATCCACCGAGGAGCTGGGGCCCGGCTGCTGGCACGGGCAATCTGCCATGAAGCTCCACCAGCTGCTTGCCGCGGGCGGCAGTGCCCGTGCGGGAGTGCCGGCGTCCCGGCAGGGCCCGCGCCAGTGGCACAGGAACCCTCCCAATCGCTCCTGCTGGCACAGGAGGAATCTGACCCTGGAAATAGCTTCAACATCTGCTCACTGTGTAATTATATGAGATTCACCACGTTTCCTGACAGCCCCGTGCTGCCTGGAGCTCTCTGGGATGGAGACGCTCCGCGGTGCCATCCCTGACATTTGCTGCCTCAACTGCTCAGCCCAGCCTGACGAGGCCATCAGCATCCTGCAAGGCCAGGCTGCCAGTCGGACAGCACAGAGGTCAGCCCTCACGCCAGGCTGAGGGACTGTCAGATGGGAAGTTCACATTAAACTCCAACTGGGCTCCCAGTGCTCATCTCGATGAAACATCTGCAGCACCTCTGTCCATCCATCGCTGTCCCTGTCCATGCTGCCTGCCTTGTGCTTCCAGCTCCAGGTCCATACCTTTGGGAACGCTAATCTGCCTATCAGACAGCTCAGAGATGCGAAGTGCTGTCAATTAAAGCTTGTAAAACACCAGAAGAAAGGGACTGGGAGGAGGAAGCCGCATGTAGCCCCTCCAGCCAGGAAGCTGCACGTGCTCCAGAGCATCCTCCATCTCTGCTGAGGTGCAGTGGGTCAGTGGCAACTGTCCCCTTCAGGCGACCTTGCTGTGGCTGTGAACACCAGCCAGGAAACAATCATTCCTCCGGCAGCAGCGCAGACCAAGCAGCTGCATCTCCTTGTCCACCAGCCTCTCCTCAAGAGCTGGAAAGGCATCCTCCATCCCTCCACTCCTCCAGCACTTCCCTCCATCGCACTGCTCCTCTGGCACTTGGCAGCCGGTGAGAGCACAAGGCAACCACGGTGGCAGGGACAGCCTAGCAGGGAGCTCATCTTAACACCATCTGCACTTTACACAGTGACATGTGAAACTTGGGAGCCTTCATTTCACCTGAGGGATTTCCCACAGGCACCTGGCTTGGACCAGGACGTACCACTTATGCAAACGTATTCCAGAAGCACCCTAGTGCAAACACACCTACACACAGATACACGTGCAGAAAACAGGTTTTGGATTAATCTTGTTTTGTTATCCTTAACGAAACCAAGCAGCAGCTTCCAGAACTGTATGTGTAATTGAAACGCTATTACGGAGCTAATGCTCCAGGTAAAAGACGGATAGATTTTTCCAGAGCGCGTCAATGCACGTTTTATGGATTCCATGAAAACAGGTCAATGAGAATTTCAAGGATTTAATAAGGCGTAATGGAATGGCTTCAGGCTATTAAAGAAACATATGGAGATGGCCAGGGCACGGCCTTTGGCCTGAGGTTTCACAGGACCTTGGGTGGGAGCGGCAGCACTCTGAGCTGCTCCTTCTCCTTCCCTGGACTTGAGGTGTGAGAGCTGTGGATGCACTGAGTGCAGCTGGCTTGTTTTGTGTGTTTTTTCTTAATACACTTTAAGCTGATGGAGAGACATTCCAAACTACAAAGCTGAGGGTGGAAAAGGCACACCCCAATTTGGTGAACCTGAACGTGGTAAATGCCAGGATCTGTAGGAATGAACTGCACCCTGCCCTTGCCCCCACTGCAGCAGCACTGGCTCTCCCAGCCAGCATTCCCAGCTTTCCCAGTCAGAATTCCCTGCTCTCTCCATATGCACTTGGAGAGCCCCAGTCACTGCCAGAGTGGGAGCCCCGGGCTGCAGCCCAGGAGCAGGCACAGGGGGTTATTGCCTTTCTTTCTGAGACTGCTGTTCCCTGCAGAACCTCCCTGCTCATCCTCCTGCTGCCCTTGCTTCTGGCATCAGCTCCCACCTGGGTTCCTTCGCCTTCTGCCCCATGAGACAGCAGCCACGACAAAAGAGTCAGAGAAATAAAACAAGCACATCAACAGGCGGGGAGTGAGAGCCTTTAACCTTCCCTAGTGAAGCCACTTTGTCTGAGAGGTTCCAGGGGGGCAGCAGGGCAGTGCCAGCCAAACCCCTGCTCGCTACCCCGCTGCGCCAGCACACACCTCACCCGCCCTGCCCAGACACTGCTAGCCCCAGCACAGCCGAGACCATTAACTTTTTATTCCCTTCCATTCTAATCTAATTATATTTCTGTGTTCAATAGCTGTGCATAATGTTAAACAGGCTATTCCGAGCGAGCTGCAGCCAGGGAAGGTTGGAAATTTCATTTACACTGAATATATGATTCATTACAGCAGGGACTTGGGACAGAGCAATTAATTCACCTGAGCGGGTGGCTTGAGCGGGCACCACTGCCCATGGTGAGCTGGCACACACAGACCCTTAACTGCTTTCCTGCCACCACTATCGGCTGTGCCACCTTCAGAAGTGACACAAGGAGGTGGAAATGGCTCGAGCCAACTCAACAAAAGACAAGAAAATCCCCTAAGTCTGTACTGTTGCAACCAGAACAACATCCCTGCACTCCTTTGGTCGCAGCAGCTCCCCAGGTGTGAGCGGCTGCTGGGGCTGCACACGCAGGGTCAGCTTTGCAGAGCAGGGGGGGCTCGGCAGCAGGACAAGGAAGAGGAGGAGGGTGAGGAGGCAGAGGACCCCAGCAGTGAGCATGGACGTGTTTATGACAGCAAACAGCACCAAATGAGCTTTCAGGTACTGATGGAGTGCGCATGTGGACGGGTGGCTCCGGTGAGGCGGGCTGTCCATCACGCCACCAGAAGTTAATTACAGATCAGGCCATTTCACAGCACGGAAATTACTGTGGCTTGTTGAGGTTTTAGAGGTGGGCTGGAACCATGGGATCAGGCTGAAGTTCAAGGCTGCCCCAGGGACCCTTTGCTCATCCATCCCAGTCTCCACCTGCTAGTGTGGTCTGTCTGCAATTAATCTCCCCACCCATGGGGTGTCAGCCATCCCAGCCAGGTGAGCCACCCTGCTTGAGTCTGACACCCTGAAGGCAGGATGGCACCAGGCAAGGTACGATGGGCACAGTGAGGGGCACAGGATGGGTGTGGGATGGGTGCAGGATGGACACGAGGAGCGCGGTACGTACCAGGAAACAGCCCGCTGGCGTCTGCCCTGCCCCCAGAAGTCAAACAGGCTTCGGCCAGTCAGCAGGAGATTTCAAACCATTTCTCAGACACAAAGGCCACGGGAATAAGATGCCGGTCAGAAGAAGAGGGTCTGCAACGAGCAGAAAGAGGGGCTTGTACACGCTGGTACGTAACACACGGAGCAAGCCGGGGTGGCCTGCTGCAAAATCAGCTTTTTTAGGGGAAAAAATGACATCTCTCTAGAGTGATGCTTTGAATGGGCCTGGGTCTGCCAGGCTGCTGGGAAGTGCTCAGGGCCAGAGGGTCCCAGAGAGTGTCCCTGGATGGCAGAAAAGCTGTGATCCCTGCCAGCCAGAACACAGGCATCCTCTGTTACCTGGCTGGGGTTCACATCAAACTAATGCAGGTGGACACCCAACAAAATAGTGTGACAATCCCTGCCAGTTCTCCATCTTCCAAGGTCTGAGGATACCCTGGAAAATGCGGACCAGCACAATCCCATGCACATGCAAAAGATGCTGGTTAAGAAGATGTTTGTGAAGCTGTTGGCTCCAGACCTGTCCTTGGGGCAGGCAGACACAGTCTGTGGATGCCATGCACTCCATGGTTCCACCAGGCTGCTTGGAGGACTACTTGCTTGTTTTCTTCACTAAAACCCTCCTCCCGGCTTTCCCTCTACCTTTGATGGGGACCCACATTTACCATGTGATAAAACCACACTGGCACCTGGGGAAAGGGCTCTGGTGCCAGCCTGGGGCATGGGGAGCCCAACCCCATCGCTCCTGATCCCCTCCCTCTGGGCAGGCGAGGGGCAGGCAGAGCGTGGCTGTGTCCCTTGCACCGCACCGGAGCTGCCGCGACGCCCCTTGTTAACGTGCCGTTATCTCACGGCAGCCAAAGGGTTCATTTGGCTCCCACTGCCTGCTCCTCCATTAATCACCTGCTCGTTCACAGCCCGGCAGCTCTGCTGATGCCACTGAGGAGATAGCACAGGCTGGAAGATGGATCCAGCGGCATTTTACATGCTGGCAGCAGCAGCTGGGAACTGAACACACCGTGTGGTGCTGAGCACTGCCAGAGCTCGCCGAGCCATGTGGGGCCAGGGACTGCTGAGGCACCTACCCAGCCCCACTGGCAGGACAAGGGGCCTGGGAGCCAGTCCCACACCGAGCTACGGGGCAGGTGAGCACTGTGAGCCAGAGATAGATGGCTCTGCCACATGCCCCTGGGGCATTGTGCTTGGGCACCAAAGCCTCATCACCAGACTGGGACGACGCTCCCCAGCCCACCAGGAAACCATGGCGCCCAGCTCACCTGTTTCCATTGAAGGTGGTTTTGTAATCCCCGGGCGAGTGCAACGTGTCCTCTGCGTAGACGGACACGGGGGTCCGGACGCACTCGTGAGAGCACTGCAGCGTCTCGTTGTAGGCGGTGAAGATGTCGAGGGCGCTGGGCACGCGGGCGGGGGCGAAGTCGGTCAGGTTCTGGCAGCTCTCCTCCTGCTGGTCAAGCTTGCGCTGGTGGCTGTTGCGCCGCGGGCGCCCGCTCTGCGCGCAGCTGGATGGGGAGACAATCAGAGAATCAAGGAATGCTTTGGGTTGGAAGGGACCTTAAAAACCATCCGTCTGGGGCCAGGGCGTGTGATGTGGGTCAGCCCTGCCCTGGAGCACCGGCCCTCCCTGCACCAGCAATGCCCAGAGTCACCCAACACACGGAGTGAGGGACTGAGGCAGTTTGGTTAGAGCTGAGCAAACTGCCAGGTGCTGCTTCTCCACCTGGGATACACCTGGGTGCTGCCTGCGCTTCCCTGCTGGGCATTTTTTCTGGTGATTTCCCAATTTCACTTTCTATAAACCATTTCTATTCTACACTGCTCACTGGATTTATTTTTTCCCCTTTTTGGCTTCAGCAGCAGTTACTGAGCTGTTCTGCCAAGCCGTGGTCAGCCGGATCAATGACTCGTACTGCTCACCGCCGCGACTGGAGACAAATCCCACAAGTGTTTTATAAACTATTTTCCCTGTTCCTTCACTGAAACACTGCGACGACTAGGGAGCTTTAGTGGAGTAAATCCTGTCTGAGATACAGGAGGGAGCGTCACCAGCTTGCCCCAAAGTTCTGGCTCAGCTGTGGGGCCAGAACCTAAGCGCTTTTGGCCAGTTGCTGTGCTGAGTTACGGCTCTGCCGAGATGGAGATGCCTCCATAGCCCTGCAAAGAGCTTTTCCTCTCATCTGGGGAGCCAGCGGGCTCCTCATCAACCTGGTGTTCTAATTTCCTCCTGGCTGCAGGAATCAATTTGCTGCAGCACCCACAGAGAGCCGGGCTGGGCCAGAGGAGAGAGCCACTGGCAGGAGCGCACGGCCGCTCTCCCCAGCCCCGCGCTGCAGCCGTGTCGCTACTCCAGCAATGCTGACCTCAAAGTAGGCCAGTTTCCCTGGGAAAATAGGTAAAGTGAGGAGCGCCTGGAGCGAAAGCTAACCTATTTTGCCATACGCCCAGCCACGCTGAGAGAATAAACAGGAGCAAATGAAGCTGGAACAGCACAGGAGCGCCCTGGGGGATGGGGCATGCTTCAAACCACGGCACCCGAGGGGCTCCGAAGGTGCCCTTTCATCCCTGGGATCCCGGGGAAGGGCAGGAGATGCAGCTGCTTCTTGCTGAGCCAGGCTGGGGATTTAAGGAGCAGCATCAAAGCTGCTTAGGGAAGGCAGCAGAGTTGCTGCCGGCAGCACCGGGCAGGTCCCGGGAACACCCACTGTGGCCCAACACAGGGCTCTGACCTGTCCAGGAGCCATCACACCACAGCTCAGCCCCAGAGTGGTGATGCACATGTGTCCTATGTGGGACTCGACCACCCAATCCCAGCCACGTGTTGGACCCAAAGCCACCAGCCAGGCGGGGAGAGGTCAGGGAGCCGCAGGGGCATGGCTGAACCCTGGCACACCAACCTCCTTCTGAGGTTTCAGTATAAACCCCCCGTTTCTTCCTGCAATGCCTTTCCAAAGCCATCCTAGCGAGTGTCAGGGGATTTGGCACTCACAACTGGACACAGCTGGCATTCCCATCCCCACCACCCCCCACGCCAAGCAGAGCAGGAGGGACCTTACCAATTTTTTAAGACAAGAGTTGTTATCAGCGCAGCTATGACCATGATGAGGGACACAGTAATAGTGATTATCTGATGAACTGCCAGACCTGTGGAGAGAAGAAACGAGAGAGAGTGGGGATGGGAGCTGAGGGGACCCCAGAAGAGCCCCCTGCCCTGCACAGCCCCCCACCAGCCCTTCCCGGTGTGCAGCCACGCGCAGCCCCCGGCAGCGGCGCTGCAATCCTCTCTCCTGCCTTACACAAAATGATCTGTAAGCCAGGCTCCTCATTTCCTATCCTCTCAAGTATGTTCCTTGTCAGCCCGAATTAGGCACGAAGAACGGAAGAGAAGTGAAGACGTCTCCCCTCCGGGACGGAAAGGGAGACGAGCACAGCCTTGCACTGGGCGCAGGATTCACCAGGGATAATAATCACGGCGCTGATGGCTGCTCACTTCGTGCATTGGGTGGGCTCATTTCCCCCTCTTCACCTTCTACGGGGTATCATTTTGGCTCGTGGATCATTCCTAATGAGCAGTTTGGAAACAAAAGCAGCTCGCTGTACAGTATGTTTGTGATTCTGTGCAGCCTTACAGTTGCAATTTCATAATGAAATGATTTTTCCTGGCTGCAGCCCAAGGATGTGCTATTTTTCACAAACAGATGTTGCAGCTCCTGATGGATGGTAGTTTTAATAAATAAATAAGTCTTAGAATGACAGGAAAATAAGCAGTTTTATATATATATATGTATGCATGCATCTGTGCCATACGTGCATAGCAGCCCCAGCTCACACAGGTGCACGTGGCAAGGGAATCACAGCTCATTCCCACACCAGAGCACTCGGGCTCCTGGCTGCATGTCCATGGGCAAGGATGGTGTTGGTGTCGAGGCCATGGCTTGGCTGGAGCTGGGGGTGCCTGGGGGCCATCAGACTGCAGAGCTGGGCAGCACCGAGGCAGCCACTGCTCATGGGAAGGATTCACCCACAGCCCTGGGCAGGCAGCAGCCAACTCCTGTGAGCCAGAGCCACGGTACTCGCTCCTCGGCTGCTCCACCTCTGGCTTTCGTCTCTTGGGGGGAATTCACAGGGAAACCGCCACAGGGCTCCCCACCTCCCACTGGCACCCAACCTCCTTAAGGTGAGGTGTGGAGAAGGACTTCTGGCCCCACGCTTTGAGTTCCCGGAGGATGGTCACGATGGGAGCGTGTCCCGCCGGGCCGAGGAGCGCGGCTGGCAGCTCACACCGCGCCTGCCGGGTCAGCAGTGACGCCCACCCCGGCAGCAGCCAGCCCGGCCGCGTCCCGCACGGCAATCTTGGAGCAGCTCCCAGTGGGACGCTGCTGAAAAAGATAAAAGGAAAGACTCTAAAAATAAAATCAAACCAACCCAGTGCCCGATTCCTTTGAAAACAGAAGCGGCGTTGGGGACGAGACCTTCTGAAACACTGGGAGCTGAGGCAGCGGCGGCAGGGCCACGGGAGAACCTAACGATGCAATTAATCCTTGCATTTACGTAATGGGAAAGGCACAGGCAGAACAGATTGCAGGTGGCTGAGCACTGGGAAGGATGGCAGCTCCTCGGAGCAGGACACATGGATTTTAAGAAGGGCTGGATAATTTTAGACTCCATCACATACATAAGTTGCCATATGTACCAGCACAGAGGAAAGTTCCTTTGCATCGTGTATTAATTCTGCACCAGTGCCCAGGGGGATTTCAAGGGGACAGGACATATTTCTCCCAACAGTGGTGACAGACAGAGGGATTGGACTCGACAGGTGACCAGGATGGCTCCCTGGGAAGCCCTATAGCGACACTCACTGCAATAAAGGCTACTGGGTCTTTATTCTTACTTTGCAAATATATCCAATCCTTTCCCCTGGGCCCTCAAAGAACGTAGAGCTGTATGGAGCAAGATCAGACAGAAATAGCCAATATGCAGGGGATGGGATTAATGGATGGGGTACCCTGGGAGATGGGAACGTCCCATAAGGGACACACAGCACCTGGAGGGGCAGGTGAGATGGAGAGAGATGCTGCCAAAGGCAAAATGGTATTTTAGGCATGACCCTTGGAGCCCAATCAGATGGAGGAAGGGGACTTGGAAGATAAAATCAATAGCTCATACAGCAAAATTATCATCCTCCTCCTCCTCCTCCAGCATGGGAAGCTGCCTGGCACAGGCATAACTCCCAGTGAGAGACTGTGCCCCCAGAGAGGGACCCTGGGAGCAGGGATTACGGTGCCAGGGTTTTGTTTGCTCATCTCCATGGCAAAAGCTCTGATCCCAATGGGCCACAGAACCCGGCGGCCACATAATTACACATTCTTAACTGCGGACACAGGGAGCTGCAGGGAGGGCAGACAGGGGCACGGGAGGACAGGGAGGGACACCTGGCACCAGCCATGGCACCTGCAAACACCTCAGCCCTGCGAGGGGCCGGGGAGGGCTCCCCCCGCCAAGGCTTTTACCAGGCGATTTGACGCAGTGACCATTTAACTGGAGGGTAATTACAGGAGAAGTATTTAATGGAACTGAAAGTGTGTCCAAGCCCCTGTGCTTCTGCTAGTGCAGCAGAATTCCGTGTGCCGCCTGCCAGGAGGGAAAGCTCTTCAAAGGAGCTCTCTGAACCCTCGGAAATGCTGAATTATTGCTGGGTTTTTCCACTCCCGTGACGTCCGAGCGCACTCCACTCTCACCAGGGCTTCTCATCCCCCCCCGTGGGGGGAGAGGGGCCACAGCATCCCGGCAGGCAGCACAACCCTGCTCCCAGTTCCCCACACCCTGGGCAAAACCCCAATCTTCTCAGAGCAAGCCACTGCCAGGGCTTTTTTTATCTGTTATTTTAAAGACCATATATTTGCTGCTGAGATGAAAGCGCTGAGGTTTGGCCTTTCTGGCCACCTTTTGAAACGGCTCCCGGACAGCTCTGCATCAACGGAATTAATTCCATGAGAAAATCCATTCGAGACTAATGTCTTGCTACTGCAGGAGCACGCAGTGGCAGCGAACAGGAGATATAAGCTCTTAATTAAAAACAAAGAGAACCTCTATCCCCCAAGGCCTTTATTTCAACAGCTCTGGTTAGGGAGCCTGTATTTTTCATTTTCCCAATAAAAACAGCTACGAGCCACAACTCTTTGAAGACCCTCGTCAAGGCCTCGAAGCTGCATAAAATTAAAACCAGAGAAAACAGCTCCGTTTCATTTGGCAGGGAGAGATCTGGAGTTACCATTATGTGCCAGATACTGGCTGCACCCGGCCAGGGCTGCACTGGAGCATCCCAGCCCCTTCCTGCAGATGTGCCATGTGGATCTCCCTCTCCAAAGCAGAGCTCTGCACTCATCCTCATCCCTGACATGAGTCTCCTTCTGTTCTCACATGCCCTGGGCAGCGGGATGCCGATGCCTCCTCCTGAGTGCTGTGGAGAGTCTGGAGCAAACTGGCTGGACTTGAGAGGCTTTACAGCTTCCCCAGCCATCAGAACTCACATCTGAGCCCCAAGAGCCTCATCCCCTGATAAAGCTGCTTTTGGACAGAACAATTCAATCAGGAGGGTGTTGTGGCCACCCAGGGGGGATCAGCCAGACTCGGCCACAACATGAACCTACTGCTGGTTAATAGCTTGTAAGGAAAATAATTTATAAAAGCCACGAGGTCTAGATAAATGGGAGGAGATGTGGCAGGAGCCTTCTTCAAAAGCCTTGGTCCAGTGCACAGCCAGTTCCTCCACTGCCTGACTCACTGTGCCATGAACTGCCTTGGGTCCTCTCTTTACACCTGGTAAATCAGGGTGATCATTCTAAAACCCAGCCCAGGGAGTGTTAGTCATCCTGAGGTAAAAATGCAGCTTTTCAGCAAAAAACCCACCAAGGTTCCTGGTAACTTCCTAATATTTTGGGCTGCACTGATGAAAGAAGGAAAATATCATGCTGCTGCTGCTTAGTGTTCTTGCCAAGAAGGAAGATCCTAGAGGCTTATGCTAAAGACACTGGGACTTATCTTCTCAGGTGTTACAGCAAATATCACCGAGGAATAAATACTCAGCGAGCAGCAGAGGAGAGTTTCTGGCTCATTGAGACGCACGTGGGAGGATGTACAGAGGCACACTCACCATCTGTGCATCCCGGGGAGGGAGGGTCCCGTCTCCCTCGCAGGGAGAGCTCAGCTGATGGCCACGCTCCTTCCTTGCTTCCACCATCATCCTCCACCCTTCAGGAGAACTACAGCTGCTGCACGACCTTACAAGGCATCCTTGGGGAACCTCATGGGAAGGGTGACTGGCTGTGCTGGCCCAGGAGGCACCATCCAGCCCCCTCACCTCCTCTCCATCCTCTCCGGCTGCGGCATCTCCCCACGCCTTGGCACAGCGGATCAAAGAGGCGGCTCCATCCCGACCGCCCAGGGTCTTCTTTTAAACACATTTTATCTTTAATTAATTCCTTTGAAGCCTTTCGCATCCACTATCTCCTTGCATCCAGCACCCCCCTACTGCACCCTGTTTCTGGAGGCAGGGTCATCCCCAGCAGGAAGCCAACGTCTTTATTACTATTTATTCCCAACATGCTCCCAGCTGGTGGCAGGGAAGGGGCAGCAGGTGGGCTGGGGACAAAAAGGGCTGAAACCTGGCTGCTGGAACAGCAGGCACTCACACTCACACCCATGCAGCCCCTGCCTCCACCTGGGAGCACCCCAGCCCTGGGAAGGGGGTGTCCCTGAGCACCAGCTCCATCAGGAGCTTGGAGAGCGTGGTGCCAAACGTGCTGCCACCGGCCATCAAACACCACTGAGAGCAGCAGACAGCACGTGGAGTTTTCTGCCTTATAAAGCACTTAAAGGTCTAATTAAAGACAGCTTTATCCTAATGCTTCTGAAAGGAGCCTCGGACAAGCCAGTGAGTGCAATTCCTGCATCACTCTGACAGCTTCAATTCATTCCACTCTCCTCTGCCTTGGCTGAGGCTGTGGGACTGGGGGATGCTCTGCCTTGGTGAGGAGCCCAGCCCACGCACAGAGTGCCTGGTGAGGGCTCCTCACAGCCCTTCCCGCTTGCAGCACGCTGGAATTTTAATTATTCCTCTTTCCCTGCTCCAGAGTAAAATGATTATGACAGCCCCGAAAAAGGAAGCACATTTTTGAAAAGCACAAGCATAACCTACGCCTGGGTGAACATCTTGTGTGCCCAGCTGATGCCAGCAGTGCTGTGCCGTGCCACAGGGGTGGCATCAGGACAGGCACACCTGAGCTGCAGGTCACCTGAACCCCTGTGGCAGCACCCACTGAGCCAGGGCATGAGCCAGCCGCTCCTCTCATCCCAGGCCTTACCAGCCATCACTCCTGTGCCATTTCTCCTGCCTATGAGCTAAATAATTCCTATTCCAGAGGAATATTTTTAAGCTTGTTTTTGCTGCCAGCAACTCACGGAGACATTGTTTCTGGCTTTTTTTTCTTTCCTTCTCAGTGAGGAGGAGGGGGGCGAGAGGAAGATGTCACAGAGCAGAGCTGTGTTGTTCATCTCAGTGACTGCTGCTGCCTCCACTCAAGTGTCCCCCCCGCTGTGAGCACCCCAAGGACCCCACAGTCCCCCAGTATCACCAGGTGCTCCAGCAACACAGGGAGGGACAGAAGGACACGGCACAGGAGGGACTCGGGGGCAGCAGCACCGTCATCAGCACGACGGCAGCGCCTGCTCTGCTGGGATTGAGGGAATGTGGGTCTGCACGGCTGTGGGACAGCTCTGGGACAGCTCTGCCAGCTCCTGGGGTGATCCCAGCTCCTGCGGGGTGTCACACACGCAGGTGGGACCACCCCGACCCCCCAGGCAGCTGCCAGGGACAGCTGAGGGACCACAGGCAGCAAGAGCAGCGTCACACCCGCCCTGGGCTCCCGTCACCGGACAGGGACTGGCAATGCTCGCTCAGGCAAATAAACCGTACAGGCGAGTTACCTCATCCTCATTTGTAGCCATATGTTTTTCCCAGCAGAGAACAAACACTTCCAGCCGCTACAGCTTATATAACAGAGCGGAGCAGGGCTGGGGAGCCGCACAGCCTTGCTCAGGCACCGCGCCAGCAAAACCAGCGAGAGCACGGACCCTGTCTGGAGACAGCGTCGGCTGCTCGCTTCCGAAACACCGTCCCGGGGCACGGCAGGGGCACGGTGCTCCTGCCGGGAGAGTGCGGGGAGCCCTCCTGGGCTCTCAGCCCCAGCACTGGAACAAAAACCAGATCTAGAGCTCAGGAGCTTTTCAGCTGAGGGTGGACGGGCTGGGATCAAACAGGGCCTTTAGCCCTGTAAAGGAGTTTATCACATTCACCGCTCAAAGAGAAGTTAATTAGCAAAAACTCCGATCCTGGAAAAAGCCCCTAATGAGAGCTAAAGCCAGCAGATTAAAGCAGCTGGGCCCCCTGGGAGCTGCCGGGGCTGCAGCTCCCGTTGTTCTGTGGCCAGGCGGGACAGCAAGGGTGGCACTTAGGCGGTGGCACCAGCGGGTGGGTGGCAGCACCACCAGCTCGTCCCCGCCTAAACAAGGCAGCTCACTCCAGTAAGTCCTGGAGCCCCAGCACATGCCAGGAGTTATCCTCCCACAGCTGGGGCAGGCAGAGGCGCTGCCGCAGCTGGCTGAGGGAAAAGAGCCCACGGGACCCCACACTCCTGGATCAGATGATGCCACTCAGGCTGAAGGCACTGCCCATGGCAGGTCTGGGGAGACCTGACTGACAATCTCACCACACAGCGAGCGACTCACGTCGCAGCCCTTATCAATACTCCCTCGCTAATCTATCCAGCCAATTCCAGTGTTTGTAAAAGGTGTGTAGGTTGGGAGTTATTTTGCCTCTATAAATAACTCCTTTAAGTCAGGAAAAACATCCTGGTTGCATCGTTTCTTTCTGCCAAGCAGGGCATGCTGGATAAATTAATTGGGATTAAGATTAGGCCATAAAATTCCTTTTCATTTCGACTAGAAAATCACAGTGGGCTCAGAGCAGTCGATGCACAGTGAGTAAATTCTGTAAACTATCCACTGATACCCCACGGTTTAATATCAGCAATAACAAATATAATTTGCAATAAATGTGAAGCAGCTTTCCCATCCATGTCCACGCAGCAGCCAGCGCTGGGGGAAGGCATCGCCGCGCCTCAGCGCTATTACGGGAGACGGCTGTGGATGGAGACTGTAATGGGGAAACACAGCGAGCGGCTGGAAAACACCTCGGGTAAAGGCGATAATCAGCACTGCTGTTCACCTCCAAGCATTTCTTTAATGTCACACTAACTCCTGTCCCCGGCAGCGCTGACACTGGGACACCTGTCTCACGGTGACCCCTCCGCTCCAGGACCCCCCAACCCTCCCCATGACGATGCCATCGCCCCGACATGTGGCAGGTCTTACCTGTGCTGTCTCCCAGCCCGCGGGGTGGCCGAGCGTCTTTGCCTCCACTGCTGTGGCCGGGCCGGCCGGTTTCGCGTGCTGGTGCGGCCGGGGCTGCTGCGGGGCACGTCCCGCCGGGCGGGGTGCCGGGGTGCTGGGGGACGCGCGCCGGGGTCGGTGTGGCAGGGTGGCGGGCGGCGGTGTGGTGCGGTGGTCGTGGCGCGCGTGGTGGTGTGGTGGCGGCGGCGGTGGCGAAGGCGCCGGGCCAGAAGTGCTGCTCTCCAGGGAGTCCCTCCCTCAGCCCGTGGGGCCCAGACGATGACCTCGGGCAGCAACTGTGGCCGCCCGTCTCCGCGGGGCGAAGCCGCGGCGCGCAGGTGCCGGCCGGCCCCCTCTCGGGAGCGCGGCCGGGCGCAGGGGGTTACGGGTCGGGCAGCGGGGCAGTGAAGGTGCGGGCCCGGCGGGAGCGGGGCTCTGCAGGGGGCGCGGGGGCGCAGGGTCCAGGGGGCCCGGGGCGCCGCATGCCCTCCCCAAATCCTCCGCGCCCCACAGCGAGCCGCGGGGACAGTCTGGTGCCGGAAGCGCGCGCAGGCGAAGAGCTCCCCCCGGCGCCGGGGCGGGGGCTGGCAGCTGGTCAAGGTCCATGGCTAGGTGAACATGCTACTTAAAATCCACAGCATGGGGGCTTCCGAGCGGGTAACCTGACCTGTGGACAGACAGGGATCGTGTTAGAAGGGAAGGGAAGGGAAGGGAAGGGCAGCAACCCCGCACTCCCTCCCAGCACATCACACCCTGGCTCTCCAAGCCCAGCCACCCAAAGCAGCCCCCAGCCCGCACAGGTGCCATCACCCTCCCTGGCACTCCAGCCAGAGTCCCCCAGAATGACATCTCAGGGCACCCTGAGCCCCCTCCCACTGCAAAACCCACCACCACAAGCATGGCAGACTGAGGATCCACAACCATGACTTTTCAATTGGTCTGGGAAAGCTGGGAACCACCTGAGGATGGGTTTTACCAGGAAATGCACTGAGGAAGCCAAACAGCCCTTTTGGGTGAATTACCCAAAGCAGTTGGCAGAGCAGAGCACAGGGGTATTGGGGAGCCTGTCCCCTGCTTCCCAAGCCAGGCATAAGGAGCCACCCCACAGGCAGCACTATAAATCCCTCAAAGAGCTAGAGCAGACGAGTCCGTGGGCTCTTGCATTTGCACATGTAACCCTTCTCCTACTATGGCAGTCGCCCACACCGCAGCAGGAGCATCCTCCCACGGAGCACGGCACATCCCTGCTGTGGCACGTGGCACCCAGCGCCGAACACAACCCTGTGGCACAGGGAGGGCAGGACGAGCAGCCCCTCTCGCTGCCCTCTCTGTTACAGAGCAGCTGGAAACACCCTGAGCTGCCAGCAGGCTCAGCAGTTACCATTTTGGTTTGATGTAACCTGTCACCAACACGTCACATCACGTCACAGCCCTCTCCCTTCCCCAACAGCACCGCACCGAGGCTCTGCTCCCCTCTCCTCTAAGATGCTGCCCCACGTACAGCACCAAGAAAACGCCTGATAAGCAAATTTTTGTTGTTGTTTGTTTTGGTTTTTTTCTGGAAAAAAAAAATCATTAGGCTAAAGCCCCAAAAAAATCTTTACTCCATTTTACTCAGCTTTTACACGAGAAAGACTTTTGTTGAACTCAGCAGGAGTTAATGAGAGCTTTACATGGCTAAACGGGCTAATCCTCCGCAGCGGAGCCCGCACAGTCCTTGGGAGCACGACAGAATGTGCATCTGGTTGACAGAAGCATTTGTACACTCCCTCCGTGCGTGAGCAAGCGAAGCTAAAGGAGCTGACCTGGATACTCCCAAGCACAGGCTTTTTCTGCTCAGAGGATCTCTGCTTTTTTCCTAATTGGGTATTTTTTCAAAGCGTAACAGCATTTATTTTGGGGAGGGAGAAGGCAACGCAGGGAAAGAGTGCAGAAGGAGAAAGGGAAGAGCCAGAAACAGACAACAGAAACCAAAATAGTTCAGGCTGGGGGAGGAAGGATTTCAAGGCTTTCAAAAACCACAAACCACCCAAATCGTGGTGGGGGTGGGTTTTTTTTAGAGGCTGGCAGAGCGGTGTCAGCACGAAGAGTGTCCCCCATGTGCTGTAGGGAATGCTGTGTCTCCACCGGCAAGAAGTCAGGAGCTCAGGCTCCAGCCAGAGCATCAAGCACGGACTCACCTTTGCAACACTCGTGTTCGCTCCAGCAGCACGTCAGGCTCAATTTCAGCCTCTGTCCAACTCCCCAGCATCACCTGAAATGTTTCCTTGCAAGGAAGGAGAGGTGCTGGGCACCTCCTGGCACGTTACTCACACCCAGGTGTCACCTCTAACCACCTGTGACCACCTCCAGATCTTGTCCCCTTCCCAGCTCTCTGTGTTGCCCAAACTCAGAGCTTTTAGGAACAGCTAATGAACGAGGCGAAGGAAGATGTGTCCAGCCAAACCTGGTGCTTACTGCACCCCAGCCACTGCCTGGAAGCTTCTGAAAGACAAAATGTGGGTTCTTGGTGCTTGAGATTGGCAGCTCACAGGAAAAACAGATATTCCCTGCTTTCCCCCATCCCTCCTGCATCCTCATTGACATTCAGTCTGCAGCTGCAGGGTTTGCTCCTGCGGGAGCCTGCCCCAGCAATCACTGCATCGTTCATCGCAGCATCAGGAGGCATGGTGGAAGAGCATCAACGTACCACCCTCGTTTTCCACCCTGGTCACGCTGGAAACTCATGTCCCAGTGTGGCCAGGCAGCGTCGGTGATGCCCAAACAGTAAGTGTCCCTTGCTCCTGCCACTGCTCCTCTAGCCAGAGGCTCTGTGACCGGGAAGGACATGGTGGGGGACACCCAGACGGGGCAGACCCCACCCTGCCCTTGGGGCAGTGTGGGTCACCCTCCCACCTGTGTCCCTTCCAGTGATGCCAGACAAGGGGCTGTCACCCCAGGAGCACCCTCCTGGCCACCCTGCTGGCTGCCACAGCCCCAGGAGATGGATTCGGGGACGGAAGCAGCGAGTCTGGTTACCTCGGAGGAATTTTGCGTGGCATGCGATCTTCTGAGGGCTTTGCAACAACAGATAAGAGCAAGTGTCCTTCAGAATAAATAGCAGCGTGTAGGAGTTGCTGTTGTCTTGGCAACGCAGCGTGATGTGCCCGGCGCGGCGGCGGGGATGGATGCGGCAGCGCGTGGCACGGCAGCGGCAGACACCCGGCCCTCCTCTGCCGACCCTCAGACCCCCACCCTGAACCAGCACCCTGCCGAGGCAGGGCAGCCAGAGAGACACGTCCCAAAGGCACCCTGGGAGCGGGGACATATCCCGCCTGGAGCTCCTGCCACCGTGTCCTTGCCCCAGAAAACCTGGGCTGTTCCACGAGAGCCTGCTGCAACTGGCACAGCACGGCACGGCACGGCTCGGCACAGCACGGCACAGCGCCCGGGGAGCCCCCGCCTCTCCACCTCCCTGCCGCCCAAACAGGCAGGAGAGCATCGGGAGCCTCCTGGGAGCGTGAGCACAAAGTCACCACTGCTCAGAGCCTGGGAGGGCGTTCCAGCCTCTCCGAGACATCAAACAGCTCAAACACCTCTCCAGTGGCACAAGCTGCCCCTCACTGGAGGCAGAGCAGAGCCAGAGGATCCTCCACTGCTCCCACCACAAGGGATCACTCCCTAACTGCACCCAAAGAGAGGCTCTGGCATAGGGAAGGGAGTGCATTGTCCAGACACACACGTAGCACCCATCTGCCTTGGTCTGGGGGCACAGAGCCAGCCCCGGCTGGGAGCACGTGTGGGCCAGAGAGATACATTGGGAAAGGCCTTGGTTATGCTGCTCACTCAGGAATCAGGGATTTGGTTATTCCTGACACCCCCATAAACACATACAAGCTTTCTTGTAAAGAGATTTGGGGAGCGTGGGCAATTTTCACATTACTTCTTTTCCCGTCTTGGAGGTACATGGGAATGTTATCCCAAAATACTTCTCAAACTCAAGGAAAAATTCAGTAAAACTCTGGAACTGGGTTGGAAAAAGAAATGCATAGCAGAGATATTCGAGATGAACTCCCTTCCTTGTTCTCCTCATCCGAGGCCTTTGCTCCCACCAACCACAAATTCACTCCCGTGGCTCCGTGGATAGCGAGGCAGCCACACTCCCACCCAGGAAGGGGAACTTCTACAGATTTTACCTGCCAGAAGCACAAGAGCAGATTTCAAGGAAAACACCGAGCAAATGACGTGGATCAGGCACAGCAGGCACTCTGGGACTCTGCTGAGTCCATCTGTTCCAAAGGTGACGGAGCAGTGGGTGTCAAAGGTGCCACTGCAGAGGCTGGAGCCACTGCAGCCTCCACACCCAACACGACACCTTTCAGAGCCCTCCTCTGTATGAAACCCCTTCCTGAATCCTTCCAGCTGCAGCCATGTGCTTTGAAGAGGAGGACAGTTGGCACTTGAGAGGGAGATTAATTTCAAGGATGCTGGAGGACACGAGCTCGCCGCTGCCTTCGGCAGTCGGGAAGAGGCTGCCGTGGAACTCAGCTGCTGCCGCCACTGCACACGTGGTGCCAACCTCCACGTGCAGGGAGGGAAAGCAGGAGTATCCAGCATGAAGTGGGACAGAAGAGTGCCCACCCCAGTGCCAGGGACCTTCAGAGGATGGTGGCACCTTGGGGAGCCCTGATACTGCAGACAGGACACAGGTTAATCCAGCGCACCCACTGTGCTCCCAGAAACCCCCAGCTCTGGTAACGTGTCTGAGAATTAACTGGGATCATGGCTTTGACAAACATCGAAACACCACCCGTCAGCACTAACCCACTTCCCCGAAGCCTCAAAGGCTCACTCGAGTGCAGTCCCTTTCATAAGGTCCTTGTTTGCTCTCCAGCACCAGCCCCTTTCTCCCCTGCCTGTGGAGACACTTCACAGGAGCATTAACTGCAGAATAGGCTGATTTTTAATGCAGAATTATACAAGTGGAGCCATTCTTCCATTTCATGCCTCCCGTTAGCTAATCTATCGGTATTGCTCAGGGAATCAAGGTTATGTCCTTGTTGGGCTGATTTACGAACTCTGAGCATTTCATATCTCCAAACACTGAGTGAGGCAGAGACAGAAATATTCCTGTGAATGCCTGGAGCAGGAGCAGGAGCTGTGGTCAAAGAGATGGGGTGATGTTTGCTCGAGCCAGGCATGACACGGCAGGGAAGTGGGTGCCATGCTCTGCCATGCTCTAGGAAAAGCATCCTTGGCAGTGTGGCTGTGTGTCCTACAAAGGCGTTCGGAGCACGGCACGTTATGAGAGTACGTGCAGGAACTCTGCATACGGAATAGAATGAGGCCGCTGCATCCCACGGGTGACTTTCACGCTGGAGCAGGAGGAAGAGGGGAAAACTTCAGTGGCAGATACTTGGCCTGCAATTGTTTGTCCTCGCTGAGGTGGGGACTGCAGCCCCAACCGCAGCCGCTCTCCTCTCCATCCCGCTGTCCTGTGCAACAATCCCTGCAGTGCAGCAACTGTCCTTTGCTGTCGCACTACCAACCACTGCCAGGGAAATAGAGCATTGCTGTCCTGCATTCCAGGCTGGACTGGGACCCTCCCTAGGGCTGGGAGGGGGGAA